TCTAGTGTTCCCTCAGATTTTTGAATAAAAATGAAGCTTCTAGAAAACAGAAGATATTGATCTTATATCTCTTTGTGCATCCTGTGATATTACCCTGTGGGCAGCACTCCACAGAATCAATGCCCTACATATGACGAAATCTGAAGCAGCCTGGAATTAACACACCTGCTGTCTGCAGCATATATGATCTCAGTACTTTTTGTAGATTATAAGCCAGGTAAGTATAGAGACAATATCAGCCTGAGGCTGACTTACTGGATATTCATTCATTAAGCAAATATTTATGGATGTTTGCCAATACACATTACAAATGCAAAAAAAAAATGGAAAGAAGAGAAATTAACATGTGTTGAGGGTGAACCCTCAGCTAAGCTTCGTGCTAGAGATTTTGATATACATGATCTCATTTATACTCATCACAACACCAAACTGTGGCATTATATTCCTCATTTTCCAGATGAGAGAACAATAGCTCAGAATGATTAGAAATTTGGCCATGATCATATAGCTGGAATGCTGAACCAGTACAGACTTACAACTACTTGACTGTAAAGTTCAGGTACTTTCTATGATCTGAGAATGTATGGCACCCAGCAGAGGTGATCAGATAACAGAAACATGCATAGTGCCATATAGCTAAGTGTGATGTGAGGAATTTAGGAGCAGACGTGTGAGATCAGAGAAGACTTCTAGAACAATGGCATTAGAGCTGGGCCTCAGAGAGAGGGCAGGAGTTCAATAGTGCAGGAGTTGGAGCATTCCAAATAAATTGTTCTCCCACAACTAAGAATACATGGAGAGTCTGAGATGTTAGAGGTAAATAATGTAGTTGGCCTGGAACTTAAGCTATAAATGGGAGAACAACGGGGGAAAGGTAGGCAGAAAAAGAAGGGGCCAGATGGTGGGGTAGCTTAGATGCCAGGAAAATTCGAGTTTCAGAGTTATAGACTGCACAACGTTATTGATGGCTTTTTGAGTAAGGAAACGATTAATTCAAAATAGAGAAATTAGTCTGGCAACACCGAGCAGGGCATTTAGGGTTGTGAGCCAGAGTTAGCCTTAAAAACTAAGATGTGGCTGTGGGAATGTGTGGAAGGATGTGGGTGAAACTGTGAAGGCAGATTCATTAGCGCCTGGTAGCTAGTGCACCTGGAAGAGATAAAAGGAGATGCTAAACGTGATGGTGCAGTTCCCTCAGACAACTGAAGGCACTGTGGGATATTATTAATAGCAATATGGATATCAAAATAAAAAGCTGGGCTAGAGGAGGGGGACGGAAAGGGAGGATGGACTGGCTTCAGACATGGCCAGTTTGGCTGCCAGGAAGACCTTCCTGTCCAACTGTCCAGTGAGTGACTTAAAACAGAGGGGGAAAGCCTGGGTTAAAGGTTGGGGCTGAGCATACATATCTGGCAGTAATCTGCATAAAAGTGATGTCAAAGAGGAGGACAGAGAAAAGAGACAAGGGGTCAATAGCAAAATCAAAACCTCCTATTAAGCAGTTTTGGGAAAAGAAATAGAACCCTGGGATCAAGAAAAAGTAAGCAGAGGGAGAAGAAAAGGTCAGCGGGAAGTTAACAGTGAGATTCAAGAATGTTTCAATTTGCTGATGACAGTTATTGTGATATTTAAAGGAATGTATAGGTGACTGA